TTCATGCAAAATGCTATCAATACATGGAATTGGCATCAACCCTCCACAAGGGGGGCACTCCGCAACATCCCACAGCACATCTCAGCTGTGCATTGAGAATACCTTCCAATAATGTTTCATCATTTTTTGTATTATCATCGAAAGATGTTTTCAATAGATGGCCAGGATGTAATGTGGGACGTTGTGGGGGGCTGAAATGAACTCCAACATATAGCTGTAGTGTCGTGTGTGAGTGGGAATGTGAAAAGAGTTTGTGGGTAGGAGATTAGAAATGTTTTTTCTCTCCAAATCCTATCACTACTGTGGATTCTTCATGCTTAGATCAGATGTCACAGGATTTTTATTTTAATTTTCCATGCTATTTGAACTCACAAACTCGCAATGTTGCAATGTAGTCAAGGCATGTGTTTCATGAATTCCACAGGGTTTTACATTAGTGGCAGTCACATAATCTTGCCTTTGACTATGTAGCTCCCCATTGAAACTGGAGTCAATTTTGGTTGGTAAGAAAAGATAGAAATGGATTTTTTTAGACATAGTTCTAAGCCTAGTACCTCACTTTTCGATAAGTTATTCAGGTAAATACAATTACCTAAATAAATTTTTCCTATAGTTGGTCAATATATTATTTTGTTGTTTGGTATCATTTCTATCTTCACGTTTGGGAGGATATTCTTTTTACCGCAAACTTTTTGAGTTGATGAATACAAATTGTCATTTTTATGTCTAACTTCAAATTTAACCTCGTGATCAATCAAATGTTGCAGGCAGAAGTAAAAATGATACCAAACAACACCTTAAATGGTGAACTTGATCTCTCAGATTGTAATGGTATGAAAAGCTTGCTGTTTTCTAAAAACTGGAGTGGCTATCGTGCAGTGGTATATGAAAGGTTTCACTTCTGGATTTTCTCGGTTTAACTTAAAACCCGACAGTTTTTATTTTACCCATTTAGGATCCAATTGCTTACCCAAAAAAGGGTTCCAACTCCTAGTTTCCCTGCTTCAACCGATTAATATCGTCTGGTTTTCAAAATATTGCAAAAAATTAATCATGACCAAAGTGTGACACTGGAGATGGCATCGACATATGATTTTATAGCCTTTGGAAATTAAAAAAAAATTCATTTGAACCCAAACATATTCACCTATAAAATGAATTTGTTTCCAAATTTGAAGGCTTGATTTATTTAAATGTGGAGGATGGATAATTTTTCAGAGTTAAATGTTTCATCTATATTTTCCCTTAGGCTTAGGGGTATTCATTATACTGTTCAAACCGCAAAACTGAATCGAACCAAGTCGAATTTACGGCTTGGTTTGGTTTATACCTATAAACAGTTTGATTCGATTTGAGAATTTTTTAAATTACAGTTTATGATTTTGATTTGGTTTGTTAAATTTTATAAATTGAACCAAACCATAAACCGTAAATTGAATATATATATATATATATATAATATCTAAATGTAATGCATAAAATTATAAACCATTTTGATTACTGCGTCACAAGTCAAATGATTCGATCATGGGTATTAGCACATGTGTTTGGCGGAAAAACTTTGACTGTTTGAGAGTTTTGCGTCAGAAAAACCAATTCAAAACTTGTACCACTTTATTCTTACCTTTGCTCTCTTATATAAAGTAACCGACCCTCTTACTCTTTTGAAACCAACTTCTTCTTTGTATTTTTGTCATGTGAAGTAGGGATTACAAGTATTTTTAAGACATTTCGACAAAAAAGTCCTTTTAAGTAGATATTTTAACAGTCCAATAGACAAAAGAGTCCACATCAAGACCCTTTGGTAAGTATCCTGGTCTACTAGGCTGTTAAACATGGTTTTCAAAATCGTTGGATTGGAAAAGGAAATGGGTCATGAGATTGGTTCTGTTTTATCCCAGAATTGTTATTTCCCAAAAAACTGTTGATTTTATCAGCAAATCGCTAATCTGGGCAGTCGAATCGTTCAACCGTTCAATGGTTTGGCCGGTTTTTATTTTATTTTTTTTGTCAGAATAGGCCGTCCGTTTGATTTGAATGATCGGACCATTCGACTCGGGAACCAGATCCATGACCGATTCGGTTTTTAAAACCTTGCTGTTAAATATGGAGTTGAAGGATATTTTGAAAGTGGAAATTAAGCCCAAAAACTACATTTGAAGTTTCTTGATTTCCGGCTGTTTTAGGATGTTCATCAAACTGATGAAATTGACCAAACCAACTAACCTGACCAAATTAGTTGACCCGAGTTGGTAAGTCTTTTAATAATTTCGGCTGGCTTTGGTTCAGCAATTATGCTAACCCAAGAGGTCAGCCGGTTTGGGTTTGACCATTTATAAATTGACCAAAATCGACCTAACCCAGCCAAATATACATATTAATATTTTATATTTTAAATTTAAAATTTTAATATGAGAAAGTGGAAAATTTTCCATATTTCTTATTTTAAAATATTTTATATTGTAAACTTTAATTTTTTAATAATACTATTACAACTTTTTAAATTTAAATCTTTTGAACCGATCAACCAAACCAAAAACCAATCCAAATTAGCCGGTTTTTACCAATAATTGACCACTTTTGAATGACTAACTCCCTAACCTGACCAGATTTGGTTTGGTTGGGCAAACAGCCAGCAACCAAATTGAACCGACCCATAAACAACCCCTAGGCTCCGATGAGTTTTCTTGGAAATGGCCAAATGGGTCTTTTTAGATTTTCATCTTTTATTACCGAATGGATAAATACCAAATTTTAATATTTTGAAATTTGAAAAAGCCCGAAAGACCCCCAGGAAAACTTGCCAAACCCATATCTTGCCCTTGCCCATGTTGCATGTATCCTTTATAAGTTTATTCATCATGCCGTGCTGGGCCAGACTCATAGCGCGATTCATGACTTTATTTGTCATCACCTCGTGCTTGCTGGGCCTGGGCCCGGACTCGTTGCGCGATTCATGACTTGTGTTCATGGTGGCGTTGGCCGTTGATAATGGGCTACACCAACGACCAATTGGCCAATGCCGCGTACAACTAGTGCCAGATATTTAATGCCCACAACCAACTTAACTGATATCGCCACATTCAATATTATCCCCACCAGAATTTTATTAATGAAGAATCTGAGCCGCCCCACATGGCCCATGTGCGCATCTCACCTCGGGCTCGTTTGGATTTCCCCCCGTATTCTGATAGGAATACGGGAGGCCCGCCTGGTAACGTGGGGGCGGTGGCAGGAATTACTTATTTAAATATCCACAGGGGGCATTGATTTGAATATAGTAGTTCTGTTTCCTGAATACTTGTGTCTATTCGCGAGTGCCAAACAGTTCCTCATTTAACGTTTTCTTTCGATTCAAATTCTCAGCCCCCAATTTAACTGCAAAACAGTATCGGATTGTTCGAATTTGAATATATATTTTTTGATAAATCATTTATTTAAATAAAATGTATTTATTGATATTTATTCAAATAAAAGGAAAAGTTGTCAAAATATTATGAAACAAAATTATTTATTCTAATAACAACATTTTACAGATAAACATGGTCATTATTTAATTTACTTGGGAAATAATTTTGGTCAAATGAACATATGTAAAGGCATATAAACGATTTTCTGAAAAATGATCTCATATTCAATCAATCAGAATAAGAATCAAATTCGATATAAACCAGATGAATAAAACCCAATTTGGATTCAAATATAAATAAATCAAATTTGAATCTACCTAACTAAATTTAATTCAATCCATTTGCAGCCCTAAATTCAACCTTCTCCTACTTGGTTTAGTTTGGCGAGAAAGAAGAAAAACGTTCAGGTTCTAGAGAAATAGGTCAGCATTAACCACTCCCTCTGTATTCTTTCAAATAATATTAAGAAACTACGAAAAGGTGAAGCCTGAGTCTAGTGTTCATTGTTAAAGGCTGAGGGCTCATCAGTCATCACACGGATAAGGCTTAAAAAAAGAAAAACGGGCAGGGCCAAAAAAGAACTCGGTTAGACAAGTGGGCTAACAACAAATTCAGTCCTCTCTGCCGCAAAGCAATATCTCCCCCGGAGATCACAGTATTTATATAACCGAAAAGTAAAAGGCCAAAAACCACTTTCAGATAAGCTAAAACCAAGATCAAGACAAGCCCCCAAAATAATTCTTTCCAACTCAGATCCTAATTGGCTCCATGTAAAATCTAGTTGGCTCCTCTAGTGCCGAATTCCGGAATCTGTTAACCCACTTTTTTCTTTCTGGGATTCACCACTACAAGATGTTTGCGTTAAGTCCTCAGAGAGAATACCCTTTCTTTTGTTTCTTGGATGTCCACAACAACCACTCAAACTCCCCACTGATCCCTCTTTCTTTCCGACCATGTCGACCGAAGAGCCAAGTTTTCGCGTCGGACAGGGTTCTGTGGCTCCCACCAGATGCTTCCTTCTCTTTTTTAATTCCCCAACTCATGCGTATATATCCCGGCCAACCCGGCCCAAACACGGATTACACACACATTTGTAACTTGTGAAGTGACCTGGGTCTCTAGCTCTAATCCAAACCGTTGGATTGGGATCTTATTTTACCGATGCCTATCCAATTGAATCATTCCTTTGGTGATAGATTCCAGTTTGATGGTACTTCATACTTGATTCACTCTTGATCTCTCTTTGTCATTGTTCGACACTTTCGACTAAATGAAAAGTAAACGAAACGAAAATCTCTGGCTACTTCAGGAAGAAAACGACTAGACGATTCCCTTGGTTGGAATTTTCGTTTTTGAAACTCAATTGAGAATTTACTTTGATTCCATGTCAATATTTCATTAACTAGATTACTAGAACAACTGAACAACGACCATCTTTTGAGTTTTGATTATTAAAAATACGTTTTTTTAATTTGATTCTTGATTTTTTTTGGCTAATAAGCGAGGTTAGGTAATTGCCGCTAATTTGGAGCGAGAATACAAATGGAAACCTCCATTTGACCCTGACTAACAAGTTTTCTTTCTTTTTATTTTTCTTTTGGTAGAAGCCTGAGGAGCAAGTTCTGCGAAAATTCACTTATATAACGTCCTCATCAAGTTCTGTGGAACTGGGTCAAACATATAGAAGCTCCGGCTGCAACATCCTCCATGTCTCCTCTTTCCCTCTTTCTATAACCCCCTTTTAAACCTCTGCGTCTGCTTTCTCTCTTTCTTGTATTACTTCATTCTATCATTTTTTTTTTCTGGGTTCTTGTAAATATATCGAAACAAGCTGCTGAGAGAGGATTTTGAGATCGGGAGATGGGATTGTGTAAAGATGATAAGTCGAGGAGGGGGGTTTTGAGAGGGTTGAAAACTCTCTTCTTCTTGATCACGATGCTGGTGTCTCTTCTTTTGTTCTACGCTCCCGTTCTGCTTGTTCTCGCCGATACGCTTCTTCCTTCAGCTATCCTCTCTGTTTCCCTCACTCCTTCCTTCCTTTCGTTTCAGTCTCTCTCTTCCCATCTCAGTAATTACGACTTTCGCTACTCTCTCGTCGACATACCCCTCATCTCCATCGTCAGATCGCTCGTGATTATATGTAAGATAACACCCCACCCCAGCTTCTGTTTCTCTCAATTCGAATTCTAATTTCACATGAAAAAGCGAAATTCGAAGTAAATCTAACATGGGTCTGATCTGTTGTCTGGCTCTCGCTGCAGGTGTCTACAGCTTTTGCGACGGGCCTCGGCTTTCCCGTGGGCCGTACCTGGGAATTACAACGCTGTGTTCGTTGTTGTCTCTGGTCGTTGTTTCAATCAAGGCCTCATTTGTTTTCGCCGCTCCGGGCAGCCAAGGTTATCTTAGAGCCGCTGAGGTTGCGCTGTTCACTTGTTCGCTGGCTTTGGCGATCGGCCATGTCGTCGTGGCTTATAGGATCAGCTGCCGCGAGAGACGGAAATTGCTCGTCTACAAAATCGACATTGAAGCTGTAAGCCCAAAATCCATCCTCTCTCTCTCTCTCTCTAGCGCAGAAGGGTAATCAAATGGGAAAACAACCAAGAGGATAGGGATAGATTAGTCATTTGATTGAATTAGAAAGAAAATATCGAAGAAAAACTTGTCATGGGTCCACATGGGTTGGACGTTAGCAACAAGATTCAAATCCCAGACAAAAGAGTGGCCGAGTGGGGAATTATGGGTGGTGGTTGTGCCCTGTGAAACTGTTTTCGGCTGCATAGGTGGCTGCTGCACATTCTTAATCCTAGCCGTCGACCTGGTTGGTCCCACTCGGGCTAGACCTGGTCCATAAAAGGACTAAGACCGTTTGATCAGAATACTTCATTTTCTTATTTAATTAGGCCGGAAGCCGTTAGACGTTAGGAGGCAATTTTTTGAAAAACGAGAAAAAAAATGTCTTTATCGTTGGCTTGCCCGACAGTCTGACATCACATGGGGATGGGGATCCAAAGTGGCACGGTTTCTGATGCATTCCTCTAAAATTATCATGCCGTCCAAAACGAATATCTGATAGATTGCTTGGTCAACAGAACTTGTGTTGATTAGATAGGGAAGACGGGAATCTCCGTCCTCTCAACAACGCTCAAACTTTTTCCTCTCTATCTCTCTTAATGTTATTAGTTTATTACCTTCTAGAAAGCTCAACTGACGTAGGTGCGTGCACCCCGCTTCGGTTTATGGTTAATGGTTTGGAGCTTACTCTCGCTGACGCGTAAGCAACACGCAGTGGATAAATGCTGACGCGCTAGCAACTAAATCAATTTTCTTTTACTTTCTAATACTTATTATTTGGATTTTTAATGAAGAGATAAGGCTTGACCCCAAAAAAAAAAGAATTTTTAATAAAATATATTTGAATTTTGCAATTACAAAGACAAATCTTGAGTCTTGACCGTGGTATATATTGTGCCATGTGCGCAGGTTTCCGCGTGTAAGAAAGCGTTTCCCGTGTATCAAAAGCGTCTACAGGAGGAGAGAGTCAAGTGAAAACGGAGGCTAAGCTTATTTTCTGGCAAATCTCTTGACACGCATCGCACTCGGTCCCACATTTTGTTTCGGGTAATTTCTTCTTCATTTCCCCTTCAAGGGATTGTTGGATCAAACCAAACAGGTTTGAAATTGTGACTGATTATTACATCTAACAACCAATATAACTCTCTACAGGTTCTCCGAAGGAGATGAGAAACTGGAGGGGAGTGAGAGGCCAGGAGTAAAAGCACCGAAGCCGAACAAGAACTGAAGAATATCTATAATGTACAACAATGGAGGCCGTAATCGGCTTAAATATTTCATTTGTTTGATGTATATATATATATATATATATATATATATTACCACGGAAAGAAAACAGAAAATGTGGTAGAAACTAGAAAGAGCCAGTCTTGTACTACTATATCGTGCTTTTAGCTAGTCCATGGGGGAGCAGAATTTGGAATTGGTCCATTCCATCAGTTTATTAACTTTGTATGATTGTTCAAACTAGAACCAGTTTGGGGCCAATGTATGGGCCCAGGAAATAAATGAGCTTTACCTCTTTTCACTGGCTGTACAGCAAAGCTTATACCTACCTTGCCCATGCTTGGACAAGACAAGGTCACAAGAATGAGACCCACCTCACCTTCATTGGAGATCTCCAAGGATGGATGTTCCCAAATCACTGCAAACAGAACTGCTTAACACTCCCACACCCCACTTGCATAGATCACGTGCCTGGAAATTGGAATGTCCAAATCACAACAGATTGGCACTAACAACTCAACAAATTTTGTTCCTGCTTGCCTGATGAAATTGCTTACGTTGTTTGGATCAAGACAAGTTACAACTTACAATATGGTTATTTCTGGTTAGAATAGAGACGACTGATGAGTAATGGCATTAGATGTTGCACTGTGATTTGGCACTGCATCCAGCTACATAACAACAGAATAGTGAAACATGATTAATGTAGCCGACCCCATATGGTTGGCACTGCATCCAGCTTAGATGATGATGATCCAGCTACACAAGAAGGCAACTGAGGTGGCAAATAACACATATTAGCTGCCAACTGAAGTGGCAACTACAGAAAAAGAACCAAACACAGTTTCTGATAATTATTAATCAAAGGGGCATGAAGCCTTATTAATTATTACTTATTATGCATGCAGAAAACAAAAAAGAAAGAAAAAGTCCAGAACATGAAATTTAGAAATTTTTAGAATACATGCTAGGTAAATTCATTCTTTTTCTCACGGTTTTAGCAGAAATAAGAATCTTGTATACTACCATAAGACTTGTAAGAGTCAGGGACTACATCAGAATTTGGGGCATGCTGCAAATATGTAAGGTTACCCAAAAAAAAAACTGCAAGGATTTTGCGCACAGATACAATGGCTAAGGAATGATGTCTCAACTTTCATGTAATGGTGGTGATTCTGGGGCCTTGACAACATGGCTAATAATTTAGGCCCCAGCCCCCAGCTAGCTACTTTGGTGGGATGATAATTAGATTAGCAATAATAGATGTATAAATTCTTGCATTGTAAGGATATAGGGCACTCATTTATCAAAAAATAAATAAAAGGATATAGGGCACTCCTCTAGGGTGATGTTGAGAGATTAACTATTGTGCTTGGCTTAGTGGTAAAAACACAGGTTTGAATTTGAAAGGACTTGAGTTCAAACTTTATGCACGTTCTTTTTCCCAGTAATAAGTTCTTTCATTTAAGCACAAACCAAACAAAAAAAAAAGCCTCTAAAACACAAACACACAGCTAGAAAATCCAAATACAAACAAACTACACTACAAAATAAACTACCTAAAGCTATTCAACCTTGCAAATATAAACTATCCAAATCCTTTTTAAGGCTATCTCAAAAGCCATAAAATGGAGTACCTGTCCGTTCATGTTAAATAAAAAAACTGCCATTTGCTAACTGGTATGCAGCTTCATTGCCTTCTTTTCAGACATACAAAACCTGAGCTTACAGCCTTCCAAGATTTTTAAGGTGTCCATCAAAATGGAAGTAAAATCCAAGTTTGAATCCTTCTCATCCTTCGAAAGGTCATCAATCAGCTCTTTACAATCACCTTCAATTTCCACATTCATAATCTTGAACCTCCTGTACAATAAAGTGCCATAATCATAATTTCTTTAGCTTCATGGGGGCAGTTCAATGTACATTCTTTTCCCTAGGAAAATTGAACCTGTGCTAGATAACAAAAAATAAATTACTAGATTCAAGTTCTACTCTATTAGAGAACCTTAGATTGAAACAAGGCCAAAAGATGGATTCATCTTGATTCTTGACAGAAATTAATCGTGTACTGAAGCCGGTATTTCAATCCAAGTGAAAGAATGCTAAAATCTAGCATTTCAATCAGCTCCTTACAATCACCTTCAATTTCCACATTCATAATCTTGAGCCTCCTGTACAACAAAGTGCCTTAATCACAATTGCTTCAGCTTCATGGGGGCAGTCAATGCATATTCTTTTTCCTTAGGCAAATTGAACTTGTGCTAATCAACAAAAAGTAAATTACTAGATTCAAGTTCTACCCTGTTAGAGAACAGACCAAAAAATTGATTAATCTTGACAAACGTTAGAGTGTCTTGAAGCCAGCATTTTGATCCAATTGAAAGAATGCTGAAAGCTGGTCTTCTCTGAAGTGGCATTGTTGTGGTTGCATCATGCAAATAATCTCAAATACTTGGTACATTATTCTGAGTGTCTATACCCATTAGCAACCCCAAGATAGTTTATAATTGGAAATTTGGAATATATATGTACAACCATGCTTTAAGAATAAGCATGCCGACCATTTATCGTTGTCACACTCTAACAACAATGAGTATCTCCATATTCTTTTTTCACCCAACATAGTGTATCTTCATATTCTTCATCCACCAGCTAATACTTCATTAGATATGAATTACCTCAGAGGCTTGGACATGTACCATGGTCTTAGTGTTTTCTGGCATGGTTATTAATGACTTTAATTCTTGAAATCCATATACCATCATTGCCACTATTAAATCCCCATTTTCACTTCCTGGTTATGTGTATAATGGAGATGGCAAAACTGCAAAACCATCATAATCGACTGGTCTTTTGCTTCTAGACCCATGTAATTTTCAATGTGAAATTCCATTTTTCTTGCAATGCATCAATATTTCAGTTAGAGGTATTATGAAGAAATACTGTTAGGTGCTGCCTAACTCAGGGTTCATAGAGTGAACCAAGCTCGTGAGGGAAGAGGAAACTGAAGGGAAACAGAGAGGGGGAGAAAAGGGGATTCAGAGGGAGAGACAGAGAGAGAGAGAGAGAGATTTGTTCGAATGGAATTCCTCATCTTTATTTCTTCTTCGGGTTTTTATAGACAGGTAAGTTGTTACAGTTGCAGTCTGTTACAAGATGATTACAGCTTGTTGTAGGACTATTATTCTGTTCTAACAGTCAGCCACTTGGACTACATTCTTGCTGACGTGGCTTCTCCCTTTTCTTGTAAACTTGGTATGCAGGCTGGCTATTCCCGTGCACAGGCCTTGGTTTGCCGCAGCTCTTGGTCTTATCAATACCCCCCCCCCCTGGTTAAGCTGGACCTTGCCCTCAAGGTCAATATGGGGGAACTGGTGTTGCAGTTGTAGATAGGGTTCCCATGTTGCATCCTCTTCCGGTAGCTGTGACCACACAACTAAGGCCTCTGGAACAATGTGGGAGCCTTTCTTGACCCATCTGAAATTAGTGATATGCACCGGCTCTGTTTCTAGGTTCATATCACTTGAGAATTTTGGAAGATATGGTTGAGTTATAGCCTCTGGTTTCAAGCAATTTTTGAGAACCGAGACATGGAAGACTGGGTGCACTCTTGAATCTGGTGGGAGATCCAATCTGTATGCAAGAGGTCCAATTTTCTCCAAGATCTTGAAGGGTCCAAAGTAGCGAGGTGCCAGCTTGTTCCATCTCTGTTTTTGTACAGAAAGCAACTTGTAGGGAAGCAATTTCAAGTAAACCATATCACCAACTTGATAG